AATTGAATTGAGTCAGCACTCTTAACGGTTTTTAATGATATCTTCCTTACCTGTGATTCTAGTAATCATGTTGTTCTTGTCTTCCCTGACCTAACAGCTGCTCTTGACACTGTAGAACACAAGATTTTACTGTCTCATTTACACCATCTTGCAGGCATTCATGGTACTGTTTTGAATCGGTTTAGGTCTCATCTTTCTGACAGAACTTTCTGACTTTTTAGGGTACGAGTCCTTCTCCGCTGCTCTCCTGTTTGGGGTCCCGCAGGGAATGGACTATCCTTCCACTGTCATGCTGACGACTGCCAGAGTTATCTGCCTCTGAAGCAGAAAGCTGCCTCCTGTATTAACTCCCTAACATGGTGGACTGATGTTGCCTTTATTAATTCATCTCTGTTTGTGCGACTGGTTTAGCAGTGGTTTTGTGTGTCACATTTGCTGTGAGTCACTGGCTGTGATGTTGTTGGACTAGTTGAAGGCAGGTGTATTTGATTACACTGATGCCCTGTCTTCTTACAGCCTGCACTGTGATATTTTTTCTCTCTGTGCAGGTATGAAATATGACCTGATCTGTTTATGGCGGATAGTTTGTCTCTGTGCAGGCCAACACCTACAGTATCCCTCAGAGTGGAGTGTCTGAGGCCGGAGTGATCACTGGCCTCCTACTTACAGGGTGGTGGGTCTTGGGGGACACCTGCTGGTCCCTGTTAAAGTGGACTGTGTGCTTTTTATTCTGTACTCAAGTAGGACACTGGACTATTTTAGCCTTCATGTCTGGATAATTGTATTAATGATTTTGTAGAATTTGACCGTCATGCTGCACTTGTTACACTTGGATGGCCCTGAACAGCCCCTGTGATTCCTCCTCTGTTCATTTGGGACCCCTGGCAGAGTATTTTCAACTTGTTGTTAATAACTTGGGTTTTAAGATGGACACTCAAATTAGGGCTACTGCCAAGTTCTTATCATTTAAGGTGCTTGGCAAAGCCTGATTACCTCCAGGCAGACTCCATTGGCTGCCTGTATGTATGGTTTGTTTGTTTTGTTGTTGTTTTTTACCTGAGCTTCATCCTTACTCAGACCCCAGGGTTTTCAGGTCAGCTGATGAGCTCCTCCTCGGGTCCAAGAGGAAGCTCAGAGGGAGCGGGGCCTTCTCTATTGCTGCTGCTAACCTCTGGAATAACCTGCCCCTGCACATTAGAGAGGCCTCTTCACTGTCCAGTTTTTAAAATGCATCTTAAAACCCCTTTTTATTCCTTGGTGTGTGACACACTTTGGCCCTGATTTTACTGCTTCAATGGGGGGGGGGCACTTTGTTTTCAGCTGTCTGAAAGTGGTATATAAATAAGTTGAAGAGAAGTTGTCTGTGGTTCGTCCTTTGGACTGAAATTGAGTGAAAAAGTAGAACAAAATGTTTCAGAAACGAGGACTATCTGGGATCTCACCGACTAACATGTTAGCAAACGTCAGACTCGAACACCACAGATGCTGAGCTCAAGGTTTCAAAATGGGACTCTTTACTGTATGTTGAAATATCAGTTATTTTTAAACAATATTTTTATATTGACTGTAAAAGACGAATATAAGCAATGAAAGTTTGCAATTTCTACGTATAAAAGTCACTACCCTTAGGTTTTTTTTATAACATTCATACATTCATAGCAATGAGGCAGATGTTAAGGAAAAATACATTTAGTGTCTGTTACAATGCTCACAAAGTCAGATGTTCAATGTTTAATCCCGATTCACCTCCTTTTAGCACTTTAACTCACCTCTCTACAGAACAGAGAGCAGCACTGGAAACCAGGTGTTTTGCTTTACCAACATCTGTATTCGCCTGTACAACAGTGTCAGACATCCTCAGCACAAAGTGATGCTCGAGTAATTCTGTGGCATGTAGACAACAGCTGAAGAAAGTTGAGTATAAAAAACCAACAGGTTGAAAGATTAAAGGGGAAGAAGTAGTTATAACAATAACGTTGGATGCTGTTAACTCTGACGTCATTCATCGGTGGTCAATTTTGTTATCTGAGTAAACGAATCTAATTGAAACTACAATGTTGATATTTGTGATATTTTCTGTCTATAGGTTCATTTAACAATAACACTACTTGTTACACAAAGTACATAAAATTTGATACAAGAAAGAAAATGTTCTGTAAAATGTTGCTCTGAAGTATTTTATTGCGCTAATTTAGCATCAATCTTGTTGGAGTTACTGGAGCTAAATAGCTGAACTCTGTAAAATGTAACCAGTGAATGTTTGTCATGAAAACAATGTTTTTAATGTATCCTGATTAAGTTTTAGATGGAAATATGGTGGCATAATAAAACCCATTCAGTGAAGTAGAACAGATTATTTTTGAGTGTGTTGCAGCTGTTGATGGTTCCTTTTACACGCTTCTGTCTGTTTACTGAATAAACTGTTAAAATACTCATATGTGTTGTTTCCTCAGACTTCAATCTTTCAATCCAAAAAACGACACCAAACAAGAGCCAGTAGCAGAAAAATAGAACAGAATAGAAAAGACCTTTATTGTCATTGTACATGTATAAAGAAAAATGTGCCTTTTTATGTATGTGTTCTGTTCTGTTTTGGCAGATTTGGCTATTTAGTTTTTCATAGGCACAACCGACATCCTCACCTCTGCTGCTCAACTCACGAATGCATTCTCCCTTCAATGAGGCGCCATGTAAGGAGAAATTAACAGGCTAAGAAGCATCTCCCAACAAAGAAGTCACTGACCAAACAAATGTCCTAATTTATTGTGCAAAGTTTTCACAGGTGTGTGATCGTGCAATCAGAACTCACTGTGAACATGAATAAATGATAGTGCCCTTGCATTTCAAATTCTGTAATATCGATGTTTTAGTCGTTTTTTAAATACAAGAGCAGCAGAAACTGTTCAATAAAGACAAAGAAGCTGTGAACCAAATAGCTTTTTAATGAAATCATTAGTGGTTAAGCAAAGTAACATTACAAAGGAAACAAAAGCAAGGAAACGGTTAAGTGTGAAGAACATTTGTTCCATTGGCACAGGCGTCAGTGCAGCTGCATGTTGTTACTGCTCTCACAGACATGGCATTGTTTCCCCTTTTACTGGTTTGAGCATCAAATCACCAAAGGTCTCAGCTGTACATCGACAATGCTAAAATATTTCAGCCGTCCTTACATATAAATGTCATTTGTTGCAAGCTGTGCAAACATCACAATAGTTTGACATGTAATGAAGAAGCGCAGGCAGCAGCGCACTGGCTGTGATTCACATTATATACAAAGATGAACAGGAAATGGTGACGACTCTAGGAACTAAGCAGAAACCTGTGGGAACAGTTACATGAAGCTCTCTTAGAATCATTTGTCATGTATTTGTAGCCTTCTGGCTTCTGGCCACGCCCCCTGCCCTTACCACAGAACACCTGTAGAAATATATGATGAATGAGCTACAGAGATGCAGTCAGAGCAGAACATTCAAACGCAAATCAACATCTTGACTTTTAAAAAGAGCTGTTTTATTGGTGAACGCACATGTAGAGGAAAATATGATGAAATGACCGGACACTAGGGGGCAGTGTCAGCCTGCAGCAGTCACATAAAAGCTCCAGAGAGCACGCAGTGATTGTAAAAGCTGAGGATGCGTTGGTCCTTGTGGCAGCTTCTTTACCCAACTCATATCAGACAATAAAAAATGACAGAAGACTTTTTTCAACACAGGAGACGATCACTCAAAGAAATGTAATGGACCTAACTACCTTCATTTTCATAACGGCTGTTGTTTGGGAGAAATGGCCGCACAATGTTCTGCAAAAACAACAAAGACACAGCGAGTCTACTACAGTCTGTCAGCAGTAAGAACATTAGCCTGATATAAAACGTGATCACATACAAATACACAAATACTCAACAATAACTTGGCATCATTGTGCTTCTAAGTAAAGAGTAAATTAAGCAGAACACTATAACATTAGTAGAGACGGTGGAAGGACTAGCATAGCATGTGTGATACTTGATATTTCTGGATAAGCGTGAATATTTACTCTGTGAATTTATCATTTATCAGTCGGGAATCTGCAGCCCGACATCCTTTAAACAAACTTTTCTCTAGCTGTGAGTCAGACTGAGAAAAAGGGACACTTTCTAAGAATAATTCAGCCCTGCTCACAACAAACTTTCATCTTCTCCCCTTTATCCTCGTCTTTGCTCATGATCGTCTCCACCTTTGGAAATCTGAGAGGAATGTCACATATTCCTTTGGATAGTGATTCTTAAGCCATAATATGTAATCAAATAAAGGAAAAAATATAACTTGCAGCTTTTAGCATGTGGTCCATAAAAAGGACCTTTTGGGGGAGGGGCCTCTGTAGATCACCTTATAGAGCGGAAAAGCCAAATGTGTTAGCACTCTTCATGGTTATAGCTCCAGGCTTTCCTCTCTGTTCTCAGGTGCTACTTTTAAAAACACAAAGACTGACTCTGACTGTGAGTGCAGAGCAATCAGGGCCAGTGAGCTTTGAAGCAGGCAGACATGCAGGTGAGATGCAAACAAAGGTCAGTTAAAAACATCACCGGCCTCCTGCAAAAGCTCTGACTTAGTTTAGTTGTGTTTACAATGGTTCTGTTTTGTGCAGAGCATGATTACATCTGTTTGAATGCTCACTTTCTTTAGGCTGAATTCTTGTCTTGGGCACCACCTGTTGGATAATCTGGGAATTACATGTTCCCAGAAAGCATTTTTGTGAACACGATGTTGTCTTAACTGGCTGGAATAATGGCCGAAATCAAAATAATAATAATAATAATGATACCCAGGTTGTAATTAGCCTCATAATTTTCTGTGGTATCTTGATCTTAATGCTAACAATGATTTTGTTAGCATCTGCTTTATATCTTTAATCGCTATCTCTGTCTCTGTCTTCGTGCTCCTGCAAAGCATCGTGGCTGTCCTCCTCTTCGTCCTCATCAGCCTCTTCCTCATCACCACCTCCATTCATCATTTCCATCTCCACCTCCACGCCTCCTTCCTCAGCCTCCACTTCACTGAAGGGCTCGGGATCCTGTGACACCTCGACCATCTCGGTGCCTTGCACCACTTCAACAGCACCCTCGCGAATCTTTTTGACGTGGAAGGTGAAGGGGGGCACTTTGTACACGGCGGTCTTGGACCGGGCATAAACCACGTGGTCTGGTGTGAAGGCTTTCTTCATCTTGTCGCTGGACGTCTTCATCTTCTGCTTGCGCTCAGGGTTGACGCTCATGCGTGTCCCGAGTTTTCCCATCTTCTTCTCAATGTTGTGGCGGGTCTTCTCCAGGTTTTCCTTGGTCTTCTGCTTGGTCTTTTCTAAATTCTCCTTGGTTCTTTGCCTTGTCTTTTCCAGGTTCTCCTTTGTCTTCTGCTTGGTCTTCTCAAGGTTCTCCTTGGTTTTTTGTCTGGTCTTCTCCAGGTTCTCTTTGGTCTTTGCTCTGGTCTTATCCATCTTCTCCTTTGAGAAAACAGTTTTCAGGGTTTGTACACGCTGCAGGCTGCTGCGCTTGATGCGTTCGGCGCGAGTCTCCTCGATGGCCTCCTCGATCTCCAAACCCTCTTCGTCCGATGAGAGGTCCACGTGAGGCTTGTCTGCCTTCTCTCCTTCTTCTCCCTCTTCTCCGGGCTCTTCCGCAGCTTCTTTGAGCTCGAGCAGACTGCCTCCTCTGCTTCCCGACACAGACTCGGAAACCTTCATGGATTTTGAAATGCTGAGTTTCGAGGGAACTTTCACTTCATCCTGTGGAGGAAAGAGCATAAATCGTGACATTATTTCTTCTGATAGAGGTTTTGTTAACGTAGCTGAACACATTACTGACATATTATCACATTTTAAGGCTGATAGTGTGTCTTGTTACCAGAGATGGGCAGTAACGCGTTACTTGTAATGCGTTACTGTAATCCGATTACTTTTTTCAAGTAACGAGTAAAGTAAGGGATTACTATTGCAAAAAC